TCAGGAAGGCAGGGCCTTTGAATGATTGACATCTGTATCCAAAGTACCTAGTACAGTGCCTAGCACAAGGAGGCACTAATAAATATTGAATGAATTAATGGATACTTACTAAAAACAAAGCAGTGGGCCCACCTAGTAAGACATTTGATGAAATCTCATTGATTTACTAAAAAATGAGGATCAGGCCAATATGAATACAGTGAAAAATATGATTATCTATTACTCTAAGGTCAATATAATCTTATTGCTTTGTAATGTATCCAGTGACTCCCTTCTCTGTTCTATGATGTCTCACTTTGGGCTATAATTAGACCTTGTACAGGCTTCTATCGTGTGCTGTTAACCACACTGCTCTTTACTGGTGTTTTATGTATCTATTTCCTGCCACTAGACCAAGAGCTTCTTGACCCTGTCTTATTTACCTCCTTATCTCCATTGCATAATCCATGGTAGGTGTTTAATAAATATTTGTTGAATTAAAATTAATGAACTTGCACCAGGCTAATCAAAGTAGTGTCTTGTAAAGGCCTAAGGATTTATCTCAATGGCCATGAGAATGATTTTTATCTTACTATATTTTAAAGATATATAAGGGTCTAGTATTTGCATACATTTGTATTTTTCTATTCACATAGCACTCACTTTTTAATTTTTACAGATTACACAGATATAAACTCTAGCTCAGTTTTTGTCTGACTTATCAGATTCCAAATTAGGGAAGTCTAAATTAGTGAAGCTTTACCATAATGTGCCTTGCCTTGTTTCATTTTGGTTGGTATTCATATTCAACTGGGTTTGGATGAGGCAAGCGCTAGAAAATGTAGATATGGCTAATCCATACCAGATTTTATGGGCCCAATAAAATTTATTTTATTTATTTTTTAAATGTTTATTTGTTTGTTTGTTTATTTATTTATTTATTTTTTTATTTAGAGAGCACAAGCAGGAGGGGCAGAGGGAAAGGGAAAGAGAGAATCCCAAGCAGGCTCCATGCTGTCAGCACAGAGCCCGATGAGGGGCTTGTTCTCAAGAACCAAGAGATCGTGAACTGAGCTGGAATCAAGAGTTGGATGCTTACTTGGCTGAGCCACCTGGGCACCCCTAAGTTTTTTTTAAATGCTTTTAGTGTTGTTTATGATTTATAATCAGAAAATAATTTCTAACAATAAAGCCAAATTCTCTTTTGTGCTGTTACTAAGGTTCAGATCACAGGGTCCTCAGAAGATTGCTTGCTTTTTTCTCATCTTAATTACAAGATTTTACTTAGAGGCCACAGTAAAAAAAAAAAAAATTGGGACCTAGTGGGGACATAGAAAGGGAATGGTGGGGAAGGAGGACCTTGCTTGTGTTTTCTTCATTCTAATGTTAAAATCATGGTTAATGTGGCATTCCTTATGGTATTTCACTCTAGAAACGTGCTTACAAGAGCTATGTCCGAGCCCTCCCTCTGCTGAAGAAAATGGGGATCAATTCCATTCTCCTCCGCAAAAGCATTGGTGCTCTTGAGGTGGCCTGTGGCATTGTCATGACCCTTGTGCCTGGGCGTCCCAAAGATGTGGCCAACTTCTTCCTACTCTTGCTCGTGTTGGCTGTGCTCTTCTTCCATCAGCTAGTTGGTGATCCTCTCAAACGCTACGCCCATGCTCTGGTGTTTGGAATCCTGCTCACCTGCCGCCTGTTGATTGCTCGCAAGCCAGAAGACCGGTCTTCTGAGAAGAAGCCCTCACCACCACCAGGGCAAGCAGGGAATTCCGGGAATGCAGAGGAGCAGTCCTCCTTATATGAGAAGGCCCCTCAGGGCAAAATGAAGTTATCATAGGAAAGCAAAAGTGCAAAAAGTGGACCTTCCAGGCAGTTGCCTCCATCACACCCAGGAAGATGTCAGTGTGTGTTTTTCATTTGATTTATTTATCTTGAGGGAAAGGAAAAAATATAATCTGCAAGTTAATGGCCCTATTGGCTTGTGTACACCTATACCCTAAAATGACCTCCCCACATAGACATAGTGCACCACCTTTAATCACTCCGGGGAAATTCTCACATCTTGCTGCATGCACATGTATATGGCTAACTATTGAAGTGTATTTGTGAGATGGACTCCAGCAAGCATGTGACTGTAAGACTATATGTGGGAAAATGTATGTACTGTGTGTGTGTGTGTGTGTGTGTGTGTGTGTGTGTGCGCGCGCGCGCGCGCGCGCGTGCATGCAGGTGCAAGGAGAAGGCTCTGATCTTAAACTAATCCTGCACAGGTATCCTTCCCTTTATAGACTGATTCTAGTAAGGGCAGAATAAAATAAACCTCCTATAAAGAGAATCCTACTTACTTCTGGTATAAATCAAGTGATATGTTTCTGTGGCATGAGGGAATTTCTCTCAATAGATTAAGCTGAGAACCAATTTATCACTTTAGGAAAAAGTTCCTTCAATTTGAGACACTGAGTTATACTGATTACCCTCCACTGTAACAGTTGTTGAAATTTTAAATACTCTATATTCAGTTTAATTAAAAGAAGGGATATATGCAGTCCACACATAATCTAATTCTTCAAGTTATAAAATTGGAAGTTTCACCTTTCCTTTGCCCCAATCCAACCTACTAAGCTCCTTTACTCACAGTTTGAAACTGACACAGTAACTTGTCACCAGACCTCTTTTTTGGATTTTCTTAAGCCAAAAGCTGTCTCACTTCCTACTATTCTCAGCAGCTAACCAGGATTTGGCAGCTGCTCCACTGTTGCAGTTGAGGGAGCAGGGATTAGTCCTGTTAGAATTCTGTGAATCTCAAACTCTAGCTGTTCTCTTAGATCATCCGAAACTTGACAGAGCTGTAACCAGTGTTTCCCTGCCAGACTCACTACTCCTATTGAATCTTCACTGAACTTTGCAAGTGTAAGCAGAGATCCAAGTTACTCCCATGGTTGTCCCCTCTACACCTCTTTATCAATTCTGGTGGGTGGAATTTATCTGGGGGAAGGACATTTGATATGGGTTAGTTGGATTGAGCAGTATGAAACATTGCTTTCTTCATTCCATACTGCTGTTTCTCCTTGTTAGATGTACTTTGATGGTTTTAATATTATTGTGCCAGGGATGGGGAGAGGGGTGGGGGTGTTGTGTGTGTGGGGAGTACAAATTATTGTATTTTCTTCAGTGTCATTGTTCTTGTTAATTGATACCTCTGTCTTATTTCTCTCATTCTTTCAAAATAAAAATTTTTGAAATTTGGAGGAAACTGCCTGGACAAATAATGAAAATCTGGGAAGAAAGGGTCATATCAAGCGATTCAGGCTCTTTTATTTCTGATTCTGGATAAGGGAGAAGAAAGAGAAGGAGAAGTATAATCACTTAATATACTAACAAGGTTACCAACTTTCCAATCTCATTTTAAGTTTCCCCACAATTTTGTGATGTCAGCATATAAAACAGAAAGCCATAGAATTAGGATCAATACAATTTTCAGGTTTTTGGAGTTCTGTTTCACTAGATGATGCCAAGGGAAGGTGGAAGAGTGATTTCAGAGAAAATTGCAGGTATATTAAATAAAGGTGAACCAGTGTTCTCTCACTGTGTGTGTCCACAAAGTGGCACAAATTCCAATGCCACAGACCTGTCATATTAGTAAAGTTATTTCACCACTCAGAGCCCCAGTTTCACCATCTACAAAAGGGAAGGGGATTGAAGGTTTAAAATCCCTTCCAATTCACATTTGGGTCTATGAAATCATTAAAAGTATGAAAAATGACTCGAGAAATTTTCAGTTTTACTAGATAGGAGCAGCTGTCATAGCAAATATCAAACATTCAATTCTTACGCATGATTAAACAACAGTTCATGAAAGTACTCCGAAAATCATGAGATGCAATCAATAGTAATTTCTGTGTCATCTTTCCAAAATATATCAACTTAATCTTTGATTCGTCATTTCTTCCTAAGATTTCAGTTTTCTCTTACAGTTTTGCCTACAGTTTATGGGTATGCTTTGGCCTCAAAAAAAAATCAGTAAGAGCCACTCAGTTTACCTTTCCTCTCTAATTCCTACTCTAGTTAAGAGATTAAACTAGGGACTAAACTCAGGTCTCAGACTAAGCCCATGTTGCTGTTTTAGCCAGTTTCTTTAAAACTCACTGATTCCCCAAAGTTAGAAATCTTTACGTGTTGCCTGGCGGGTTACGTGCAAGGTGCCACACCTACTTTAGGACACAGGTTTCTAGCAAACCCTGGAAGATATGGCTGCCCAACCTCGGTATAAAGAGGGCAGATCCAGCTGTCCCTTCTTCCCACCCCCTTGCTTCACCTGGGAAAAGCGACAGCTTCATAACCTAAGTCTCTTGTACAGCAAGGGAGAAGCAGCCTTTATTGCTAAGTTTGCAGTTTCATGTTTTTCTACAAAGTCCCGACATTGGGGACAATCTGGGCAAAATGATCACTATAACTGAATTGCTCTTGTTAAATTCAGGAATCGAGACACTAATTGTCGGGTTTCAAGCAAAATAACAAAGGCAAACATTGTTAAGACAGTGGGAGCGCTAGCCATCACCTAGCTCTGGCAGCAACGGCCAATCAGCTAGCTCTGGCAGCAACTGCCCACACGCCCCCCGTGCCCGGGGCGGGGGCGGGGGAGCGGCTCTCCGGAATTGGGTCTGCGTCAGCCCGCTCACGGCCTCGCGTCCTTGAGTTGAAACGCAACCAATCAGGCTTCAGCAAAGCGCGCCTCTCTGCCTGGCCGCGGACTGGGTCTCCGCAGAAGCGCATGCGCGGGGCGGGGCCCATTTATTTGAATCTAGGAGGCGGTGTTTGAATTCTGGAGGCTTTGAAGAAGGAGCGTGTTAGGTGAGGTACTTTTTCTTTTTCTTTTTTTTTTTTTTAAGGAGAGACAGAACGTGAGTAGGGGAGAGGCAGAGAGAGAGTGGGAGGCATCGAATTGTCAGCACAGAGCCCGACACGGGGCTCGAACAGGTGAGGTACTTTTAAAGGCTGCGCGAAATGGGGGCCCTCAGAGCGCAGGGAATCTCCTGATTTCTGAGCAGGACTCTCCTACAAGGTGTGGCTGGGGTCGGATTTTTCCCCAGCCCAGGTATCTGTCTAGTGGGTGAGTCGCCATGGCCAAGTTCGCTCTTTGCTGGGGCAGGCTGTGAAGGGCCCGGTTCATGGGAAGCGATGATGGGACGCTTCAACTGGATGGGTTCAGAAGCTGCTATCCCTCGCTTCTTTTCTAGTACCCTAGGAAACTACTCAGAACCTAGAACTTCCCATTGGCTTAGATATACGTATTGCTCTCCTGCTCCGGCCTCATATGTTGTAGGGAGGTGGGATTGAGTAACTGTCTTTCCGACCATTTCCTTAGTTTTTCCTAATTGAGGCCAAAACTTAAAAGGCATTCTGGGTTCCTCTCTTAGCCTTTCTTTCCCTACATCCAGTTCTTTTATCACAGCCTTGCCCAGTCCATCTCCAAAACATATCAGTTATTTTCTACCCCTTCCACCGCTGTTTTAGGCCTAGTTCAGACTACAGTTATATGTCTTCTGGACTTCTGCAAGACTTTTAAAAATTGGTCTGTTTTCACTCCTTGATCCCCTAACATTCTTTTCTCCACACTGCAGCTGAAACGGTCTTACAACAAATCAGATGGTATCACTCCCCTCTTTCACACTCCTCCCCACGCTACCCCCATAAGTTTCATTAGGGTAGAGACCTTGACTGTTTTGTTATCTTATCCCTGGTAACTAGAACTGTGCTTTGCATGTAATTGATCAATAATTATTTATGGAATAAATGAGTTCACGGGGAATAATTCTGTTGTGAGAATCCTTAGTTTGGTCACCAGTTTGACTTTTGAACCGTGCAGTTTTAATTTAGCACTCACAAAGTGGTGGGCATAAAAGATTAAAAGCAAAATCAAGGAGGGTGGAGAAGTATAGGAGTGAGTGGAGAAAGTGAGATTGAATGTATGAGATGGAATAGTTTTGGACTTATTGTGTGATAGAGCCATTTTAAGAGAGCTTGCTATGTTGCTTGTACTCTTTTTTTCCACAATAAGTCAAGTTCAACTTGTAAATGTTACCTTGGAGAGTTGTTTCTCCCTATTCCTATTTAGGTCAAGGGCTTTCTGTGCAAGTTAACCTATAGACTTTGTTGCCAGGATTGTTGACAGGTATTTTGTGTGTATGCTGCTTGTGTGATAGTTATTGTGTACTGAATGTTTGGGAATACCAGGCAGATATGGTTCCTGTCTTTGTGGAGTAAAAAGGGATGCTTTGCCTGTTTAATGGTAACTTCACACTTGTTTCTGTATAGAGCATATGCAATAATGTCACCTCAAAAGAGAGTTAAGGACTCTAAGGCACAAAAGAGGACTTCACAAGATAGTGATAGTTATAAGACTAATCTCTTGGCCTTGAAAGAAGAGGACCTAAATGATTCAAAGTGCAACTTAAAACATGGACAAAACGATCCAGTGAAAGATTATGGACATGCTGATGATGAAGCAGAAGATGCTCTGAAAAGAGCAGTGAGATACTTTGAGAAAGGTAAGACAGATAATTTTTCTTATGAAAGTTCTATTTCTGTAAAAAAATATCCTACACCTTTTACTTATGGATTTTAATTTTTTAAATATTTTTTTAACTTTATTTATTTTGAGAGAGAGAGAGAAAGCATGAGCAGGGGAGGGGCAGAGAGAGGGGGGGGAGAGAGAGAGAGTCCCAAGCAGGCCCAGCACCATCAGCACAGAGCCCATTGTGAGGCTGAAACTCATGAACTGGGAGATCACGACCTGAGCCAAAACCAAGAGTGGGATGCTCAACCCACTGAGCCACCCAGGTGCTCCCTGATGGGTTTTTAAAGGAAAGCATATTTTTGTTCATTCATGCTTTTTTTTATTTAATAGGCATTTATTGAGCAGTTACTAATGTCAGTATGTTGGGTACTAGGGATACAACAACAAAACAAACTCTTGGCAGTGTGGTTTCCAAACTGCTGCACATTGGGATTATCTGAGAATCTTTAAAAAAACATTGATGCCTGGCATCCAGTCTTAGACATTTTGATTTTATTGGTGTGGAATGCAGTCTGGGCATCAGGATTTTTAAAAGTCTCCTTAGGTGATTCCAATTTGCAGCAGAGTTTGGGAACTACTGCTCTAGTATTGGATCAGCTTATAGTCTAAGTTCAGTGCTTTTAGTTACTTTAGATCAGAGATGCCAGAGCATGATTCAGTTTTCCTCACTGAAGGTGCTATTGCTCCATTGCTGTTAAATATTGTAGAATTTTAAAGGCTTTGAAACATTTTGGGGAAGACATTTTTAACATAAAGCTATTTCTTTTTTTTTATTAATTTTTTTTCAACGTTTTTTATTTATTTTTGGGACAGAGAGAGACAGAGCATGAACGGGGGAGGGGCAGAGAGAGAGGGGGACACAGAATCCGAAACAGGCTCCAGGCTCCGAGCCATCAGCCCAGAGCCTGACGCGGGGCTCGAACTCACGGACCGCGAGATCGTGACCTGGCTGAAGTCGGACGCTTAACTGACTGCGCCACCCAGGCGCCCCAAGCTATTTCCTTATAGTATCCCAAGTTGCAACTGTTGAGGTTGAAGACTGAAAGAATTTTAAAGGTCCCACTATTTAATATTGTTCCTTTTTCCAGGTCCTGTTGAAACTTCACGGAGTAGAGATAAAACCTTGGAAAAACACTTGAAAACTGTGGAAAATGTGGCTTGGAAGAGTGGGTTAGCTCCAGAAGGAATTGACATTCTACTAAATGTGGCACTTAGTGGCAAATTTGGTATGTCAAGGGGATACATTTGTCATCAGTTTGCAGTTAGTTTTGCCTTCCAGACTTTGAATTAGATTGTTTATTGGTATCAGCTGTAGTTCCTTAGTTGTACTATTCTCTTCATAAAGCCAATCTGGTAAGATTATAAAATGGACTTTTCTTGTGTTCCAGTTACCTTATGAACCAAAAGTTTCTGTGTGCATATGTTGAGAATGGTTAGTTATCACATGACTTTACAAATAGAATGTATAGACTCTTATTTCCAAATATATGGGAGTCATTTTTAGTATTTCTCTTAAGAAGCATAGATAATACTTTAAATAATGCTGCTAGAAGGCAGCTTAAGAGATCACTTGATCTGTTTCATTGCTTTTAGGTTTACTTGCTTATGACAAGTCCCTGTTAATACTGGTTCCTTTATAGTGTCTATTATCTAACAGACAATATGCTTTTGTTTTTGTGGAAATTATTTCTTTCCTCTTCTAAGTGCATTTTGAATGGAGGGGGAGAGGTTCTTAGAAATAACACCTGACCCATATTCTTTTTTACTTGACAAGAACCTTTTAACCTACTCTCATCCAAATTCAGACTCAGAAGGTATTTAAGGCCTTGAACATCCTCATTTTAAAGGTGAGGAAACTGAGACTCAGAATGGTTAAAGAGACTTGCTTAATGTCAGAGTTAGAACTGGGGAACTTCGATCTTCTAACTCCCCTTCTAGTGTTTATACTGTACCACACTGCTATTGGGCTTTCTACTTTTTTTTTTGAACTGTTAAGACATCTGTCAAAACTGGTTGCTTTATATGTTATTTCCTGGCCCTTGCATATTGGGTTCCTTTGTGTATACCCTAGCATCATGTTTTCAGGGGTGTATGTTTTAAAGCAACAACACATTACTAGCTGAAACCAAAATATGACTCCCAGGCATTTTAGTTCTCTACCTTTACTTGATTAATTCTCTGTGTTTTCCCACAAAGTTAAATTTGACCTGATAAAATTGGCTCTTCTTCTAAGCGGTTTCAGATTTTTTGGTTCTTTTATTTTTTAACGTTTTATTTATTTTTGAGACACAGAGAGAGACAGAATGAGAGTGGGGGAATGGGCAGAGAGAGAGGGAGACACAGAACTCAAAGTAGGCTCCAGGCTCTGAGCTGTCAGAACAGAGCCCAACTTGGGGCTCAAACTCATGAACTGCGAGATCATGACCTGAGCTGAAGTTGGATGCTTCATCGACTGAGCCACCCAGGTGCCCCTAAATTTTTTGGTTCTAATATCTTTCCAGGAATCCATGTTTAATTTTTTAAATGTTTTATTTATTTCATTTATTTATTTATTTATTTTTTTAATTATTATTATTTTTTATTTATATATGAAATTTATTGTCAAATTGGTTTCCATACAACACCCAGTGCTCATCCCAAAAGGTGCCCTCCTCAATACCCATCACCCACCCTCTCCTCCCTCCCACCCCCCATCAACCCTCAGTTTGCTCTCAGTTCTCAACAGTCTCTTATGCTTTGGCTCTCTCCCACTCTAACCTCTTTTTTTTTTTTCCTTCCCCTCCCCCATGGGTTCCTGTTAAGTTTCTCAGGATCCACATAAGAGTGAAACCATATGGTATCTGTCTTTCTCTGTATGGCTTATTTCACTTAGCATCACACTCTCCAGTTCCATCCACGTTGCTACAAAAGGCCATATTTCATTTTTTCTCATTGCCACGTAGTATTCCATTGTGTATATAAACCACAATTTCTTTATCCATTCATCAGTTGATGGACATTTAGGCTCTTTCCATAATTTGGCTATTGTTGAGAGTGCTGCTATGAACATTGGGGTACAAGTGCCCCTATGCATCAGTACTCCTGTGTCCCTTGGATAAATTCCTAGCAGTGCTATTGCTGGGTCATAGGGTAGGTCTATTTTTAACTTTTTGAGGAACCTCCACACGGTTTTCCGGAGTGGCTGCACCAGTTTGCATTCCCACCAACAGTGCAAGAGGGTTCCCGTTTCTCCACATCCTCTCCAGCATCTATAGTCTCCTGATTTGTTCATTTTGGCCACTCTGACTGGCGTGAGGTGATACCTGAGTGTGATTTTGATTTGTATTTCCCTGATAAGGAGCGACGCTGAACATCTTTTCATGTGCCTGTTGGCCATCCGGATGTCTTCTTTAGATAAGTGTCTATTCATGTTTTCTGCCCATTTCTTCACTGGGTTATTTGCTTTTCGGGTGTGGAGTTTGGTGAGCTCTTTATAGATTTTGGATACTAGCCCTTTGTCCGATATGTCATTTGCAAATATCTTTTCCCATTCCGTTGGTTGCCTTTTAGTTTTGTTGGTTGTTTCTAAATGTTTTATTTATTTTTGAGAGACAGAGTGAGCACAAGTGGGGGAGGGGCAGAGAGAGAGGGAGACACAGAATCTGAAGTAGGCTCCAGACTCTGAGTTGTCAGCACAGAGTCTGATGCAGGGCTCGAACTTATGAACCAGGAGATCATGACTTGAGCCAAAGTTGGACACTTAACCGATTGGGCCACCCAGATGCCCCTCCAGGAATCCATGTTTAACTAATCAGTGTCTATTGTCAATTCTATTTCTTCTCCCCTTAAAACATGTATGGAATATACAAGTATTTTCTATTTTGGAATTTCTCTTTTTTTGGTATCTTAGAAAGTAATGGTTAGAAGGTTTCCATGATGTTTGTCAGGTCTTGTGGCAAATGCATGCCTCAGCCTTGGAAACTAATATATGGCAATTTTAAAAAGAATCTCTTTCTTTCTATTCTAACTTCATTTATCTGTTAAGCTGGAATTGGAGATGTCATATGTGGCCTCCTTAATTGTTTTTCTCCTTTTCGTTATTTCTGTGATACCCTCCATCACTACTATATCTTTACATATAGCTCTTTTGCTAAGTTGAAATGCATATTCAGGGGCAGGTGTGCTACAAATTTCATAGTTAAGTACAAAAGGACTTTGGGGTGCAGTCAGTTAAGCTTCTGACTCTGGATTTTGGCTCAGGTCATGACCTCATGGTTCATGAGATTGAGCCTGTGTTGGGCTCTGTGCTGATAGTGTGGAGCCTCCTTGGGATTTCGTCTCTCCCTCTCTGCCTCTCCCCTGTTTGTGCTCTCTCTCTCTCTCTCTCAAAGTTAATAAAGTTTTGAAAAAAGGACTTCAGACACTTTAGAAATTAAAAAGTTGCTGGGAAGTATTAAGTCTATTGAATTCACCCTTTGAATTTGGTACATGTGTGAAGTGTTAGTGGTCAGACTGTTTTAAACTTTAGAAGAGTTGGGGATGGGAGTAAGGGAGAAAAGAGAAATGAAAACAAGGAACCATAGTGGAATAGAGAGATTTTTATTCTTGTGATTCATCACCTGCCATCACTGCTTCCTTCCTTCTCCACAGAATGATGGAGTAGAAATTGAGGTATATGTAGAATGAATAAATTTAGAGACTAATGTATAGCATGATGATTATAGTTAATATTGTTTTTAATGTTTGTTTATTTTTGAGAGAGAGAGAGAGACAGACAGACAGAGTGTGAGTGGGGGAGAGACTGAGAGAGAGACACACACAGAATCTGAAGCAGGCTCTAGGCTCTGAGCTGTCATCACAGAGCCCGATGTGGGGCTTGAACTCGCAAACAGTGAGATCAGGACCTGAGCCAAAGTCAGATGCTCAACTGACTGAGCCACCCAGGTGCCCCAATAGTTAATAATATTGTATTGAATACGAGAAATTTGGTCGGAGAGTAGATTTCAGGTGCTCTCACCACACACACACAAATGTTAACAATGTGAGGAGATAATTGTAAATTATCTTGGCTGTAGTAATCATTTCACTATGTATATGTGTATGATATCATCATGCTATACATCTTAAATATATGTAATTTTTATTTAAAAAATAAATAGAGGTCTTCACCCTCAGGGAAAAAAAAAGATGTGTGTAAGATATTTCTGAAGATTACCTACGGGCCAAGTTAAGATCAGTGTTATTTCCATAAATGGATGTGATCATCATCCTAGAATACATCTAAAACAAACTGTATAAGATAATTTCTAAGAATGCTAATTGCAGAAGTGAGAACTGTGTTATTATAGTGAATGGATGTGATCAGCACACTGTAATGCATGTGAAACAGTGGTTAAAGACATGGATCCAAGATGCTTTTGAAAATTCTATTTGCATGAGAAGTTGAGAATAGTTGTTTTTTCAGTGACTGGTGTGATTACCACATTATAATGCAAATGAAACAATGTTTATGTACCCAAAAAATTGATGAGATATGCATTTAATTCTTTAAACCTTCATAAGCAGAAATTGATATAGGGTGTATACAAAGCTATTTGCAGCATCACTTCTATTACCAGATGGGAGAATACCATGGAAGCCAGAGAGTATGATGGAAAGATTGGACCAGTATAGAATGATATTACTGCCAGCTAATTCCAAGAATAGCTGTTTCATTCTGCTGTCCTCCCCACTTTTTGGGAGGGATGGAGAATACAAATATATTTATTCTTAAATGAAGCAGCTCATGCAATATGTCTGTCTGTAGCTTTAAATAAGAATCTATTGTGCCATTAAAAAATAATAACTAAATAAAAAATAATCTTTGAAATTTGTAAGGCTTTTTTTGAAGTATAATTCACATTCCATAGAATTCACTCTTCAAGTATGCAGTTCAGGATTTTTTTTAGCATATTCACAGAGTTGTACAATCATCACCACTCTCTAATTCCCACACATTTTCATCACCCCAAAGAGAAACACTGTACTCATCCTCCCTTTTTAAATAGAAATATAGAGTCAAAGAATTTGCTTTATAGTTTATATTAGAAGTTAAAGGTACATTTTTTTTGAAACTATGTTTTGAAATGATGATAAGAGATCTATCAAATATTACTCACTGTTTATTGCCTTCAGTATACAGTGAGATTTTTTTGGACTAAGTGAATAATAGTAAAGTAATAAACAAGATTCTAAAATGTAGTTTAATTTGCAGTTTTGTCTGCTTTCCAGGAAACGTTGTAAACACTCGGATATTGAAGTGCATGATTCCAACAACTCTAATATCAGAAGATTCTGTGGTTAAGGCGGTCTCCTGGCTTTGTGTTGGCAAGTGTTCTGGTAGCACCAAGGTAATCTTTTTAAACACTTTGATGATAAGTCCTTCAGAACCACTTAAGGGCTGGCAAGGAAGAGCCACTTACGGAGTAATGGCAGTGGCTTTTTGTGGAAAGCCTGTGGTTTTGGAACAATATAACTTGATGCAGGGACTCTGCTCAAGCAGAAATTTTTTACTGAGATATAAAATCTATTATCCTACTTTGTGCTAGAGGCTTCTAAAATAGCCCTGAGTGGGCAATTAAGCTCTCTCCTGTGCCAGTTACATTTCTCTAAAGATAAGCATTTTGTCTCTTGATAGGTACTTTTTTATCGTTGGCTGGTTGCTATGTTTGACTTCATTGATCACAAGGAGCAAATTAACTTACTCTATGGCTTCTTTTTTGCCTCATTGGAAGATGATGCACTGGTAAGTAAAAATTGGACAACATTATGCATCAATCAAATGGTACGCTCTTGTATATTGACACATGATGTGTGCGTCAAAGTGCCACACAATGAGTTTTTCCTTATTTTTATTTATTTTTAAATGTTAATTTATTTATTGAGAGAGTGAGGCAGAGCACGCATGCGCATGAGCTGGGGAAGGGAAGAGAGAGAGAAATCCCAAGCAGGCTCTGCGCTGTCAGACACAGGGCTCAAACTCATGAACCCATGAGATCATGACCTGAGCCAAAACTGAGAGTTGGATACTCAACTGGCTGAGCCACCCCAGTGCCCTGTTTTTCCTTATTTTAAATATTTTTTTAAGTTTTTTAAGTTTGTTTGTTTGTTTATTTATTGAGAGAGAGAGAGAGAAAGAGAGAGAGAACGCGAGCAGGGAAGGGCAGAGAGATAGAGGGACAGAGGATCCAAAGCCGGGTCTATGCCAACAGCAGATAGCCAGCAGAGAGCTTGATGCGGGACTTGAACTCATGAACCGTGAGATCATGACCTGAGCTGAAGTTGGAGGCTTAACTGACTGAGGCACTTAGTTGCCCCTGTTTTTCCTTATTTTAAAATAGTCAGCGGCACCTGGGTCGCTCAGTTGGTTAAGCTTCTGACTTTGGCTCAGGTCATGATCTCATGGTTCGTGAGTTTGAGCCCCATGTTGGACTCTGTGCTGACAGCTCAGAGCCAGAGCCTACTTTGGATTCTGTGTCTCCCTCTCTCTCTGCCCCTCCCCAGCTCATGCTCTGTCTCTGTCTCTTTCTCTCTCTCTCTCTTTCTCTCTCAAAAAATAAGTAATAAACATTTAAAAAAAAAAGGGGGCTCCTGGGTATCTCAGTTAGTTGAGTGTTCCCCTCGGCTCAGGTCGTGATCTCACAACATGTGAGTTAGAGCCCTGCGTCGGGCTCTGGGCTGACAGCTCAGAGCCTGGAGCCTGCTTAGGATTCTATGTCTCCCTCTCTGCCCCTCCCCTGCTTGTGCTATCTCTCTCAAAAATAAACATCAAAAAAATTAAAAATAAACATTAAAAAAATTAAAAATAAAATGTTGAACATATAGAAAAGTATAAAGCATAACACTCTTGCACCTGTCTTTCATATTAACAAAGTTTTTACCATATTTGCTTTATATTTTCTTTTAAGGAAATAAAATGTTACAGATAGAATCAACTCCACATTGGAGTCTCTGCTAATTTAGGGCAGTGATTGTAATCTTTTCCCTTTAAAACCACTTTAACAGAGTCCTGTGGGTCACTTATTCTACATTTTCTTGTATTACCACTGCAAAAACCTCATCAGAATTAATGAGGAGAGGATTGCTTTTGATAAGATGCTAGTGGACTGATTTTGATGAAATAGCATAATTATTCCCCTTGAAAACATTAGTAACTCTAAGAAATCAATCTGCTGTCCACCTGGAAGACTTTCAAGGGCCATCAGTAGTTCGTAGACCGTGTGAATCATTCATTTAACCAAATTCCTCTTGGCTTTGGAAAGGAAATTCATTCATTGATTTTACTTTTAAAAATTGATGTTTTCACTGTATTTGTTGCATTGTACTAGGCACTGTAGAAGATTAAAAGTTTAGCAGAGAGTTTCTGTATTCCAGGGATTTAAAATCCAGTTGGGGGATTAAGGAAAGTACATAAAGTTAAATAATACCTTAAGAGTTAAATTATCAAAGATAGTATATGACAATGTGGGGATAATAATTGCTGTGACTTTTCCAGGAAGGAAGAGAGCACTGTAAACCAGAGTGATTAGAAAAAGCATCATAAATAAAGTATGTGGGCGTCAGGCTAGTCCTTGAAGTTTGAATAGGATGTGAGATTTGATAAAAGGAAATATTATTTCATATGACAGGAACATTTCAAGCAAAGTTGTTAGCTGTGTAAATTTTGTTCCCAGAGAACTTCAATAGATCAGTCTGACTTAACTACAGTTGTGTCAGGCAGTGGGGGAAGGTAGGGCTGAAAAAGTTGGATGAGGAAAGATTGTAGAGGTCTTAAGGTGATGCTAAAGAATTTGAACTTTATCCTCTATCCAATGGGGAAATCTGATAATTTTTGGGAAGAACATGTTGAAAGCAGAATTGTTGGAAGTTGTGTTTAGTATGCCAAACAATATGAATAAGGAGAGAGGCTAGTGTTGGGAAGAATAGTTAGGAGACTAATATGATAATCCAGGTATAAAGTGATGAAGTCCTAGACTAGAAATTCTCAAATATGATTTGTGGGCCCCTTGAGTCTCCCTGATTCAGGAGTTCTGAGAAGTCAAAATTATTTTCATAGCAATGTCAAGATATTATCTGCTATTTTCATTGTGTTGGCATTTGCACTGATGGTGCTATAAAGTAATGGTGAATATAACTGGTGCCTGAGGGGCAACTGGGTGGCTCAGTTGGCTAAGCGTCTGAGTTCAGCTCAGATCATGATCTCATGGTTTGTGAGTTCGAGCCCCGCGTTGGGCTCTGTGCTTACAGCTTGGAGCCTGGAACCTGCTTCGATTCTGTGTCTCCCTCTCTTTCTGCCCCTCCCCAGTTTGTGCTCTGTCTCTCTTTCTCTCTCACTCTCTCACTGGTGCCTTAGCCAGAATCAGGGCAGTGGGGCCAAACTGTATTAATGGTCATTTTGTTCTTCACTGTAGTAAAAAACAAAAATGCTAGTTTCTCTTAATGTCTCAAATGAAGCAGTAAAAAATAATGCATTAATTTTACTAAATTTCAACCTTTGAGACATGTTTTTAATATTCTGTGTGATGAAATAGGAAGTACAAATAAATCCCATCTGTGTACTAAAGTATAATTGTTGTCCTGAGGAATAGCACTTATGTGATTGAGTTGTGAGCTAAACTAGCTGCTTTCTTCATGGAATACCATTTTTACTTGAATGACTGACATTTAAACTATGGTTATTCAGATGTGGGTATTTGGCAGATGTTTTCTCAAAAATGAAAAGCCAGCCTGTCATTTCAAAGGAAACAACTTGAAGTATTTGTTCCCACTGATTTGAGCTTTCAAGTGAAAATTATGAGTTGGGAAAATTTGTATCTACCACTGTGAACTTGACAGCTTCCCAATACTTAAACTTTTCTGATGAGATTGGTAACAATAATAATAAATGTGAATTGTAATGAAATGTGTCAATATTTGGAAGCTTGGTATAACTCAATAAACCAGTCTTTTCCAGATGACTAAGTATGATGTTATAAAATTATACATGGGTAAAAGATCCATTCAAAATGCAAGATATATCAATGAATTTTATTTATTTACATAATACTTTTTCAAAAGACTTTATTTCTTTAATGTTTTTTCAATAGACTTTAATTTTATACACCAATGAATTTTAATAGAACAGTACAAAGAGTTCATTGATAAGGTTTCAGATTCCACATTGCAGCTAACCCTTAAGAGACTACCACTTATCAAGACTAATATACACCATTTTATGAAAAGGCTATTAAAATATTCCTTTCTTTTTCAACTACATGTCTGTGAGGCTAGATTTTCTTCATTTACTTCAGTGAAAACAAACCAGGTTTAGTGCTGAAGCAGAGAATCCAGCTGTATTCTATTAAGTCTGAAACATTAATGTCACTCTAGTCATTTTTTTTTTGGAGAATTAGTAGTTTTTCATAAAATAAGTCATTTATGTTAGCATGTAATGGGTTTATTATTTTTTAATGGATTAATAACCATTTTTAAATTTGTCAGTTTTAATTTCTAATATGGTGGGTATCTATAGATATAAACCAGATAAACAAAAGCTCTTTGGGATCCTCTAAGTTTTAAGAACGTAAAGAGTCTTGAGACCAAAAGGTTTGAGAACCACTGTCCTAAACTAAGGAGGTGGCAGTGGGGATGAAAAAGTGAAAGGACAGGTTTTGGTGGAAATTATAAAGGAAGAATTGACAGGATCTGGTACCTAAACTGGATTAAGGAAAGGATCAGGAGATCAAGATCTGAGCCATTTCTCAGCATGGCTCAGAATGATGGTACCTTTGAACATGAAAGGGAAGGAGGTAGTTTTGGAAGGCATATAATATATTTGGATTTAGATGTACAAAGTTTGAGAGCACAAGGCATCCTGTAGAAATTCACTTAATGAACATTTATTACCTGCATACTATGCCAGACATTGAATTTAGAATTGAAAATACAAATAACAGTAAGACATAATAATATATGTGAGGCTTATATGCTAGGCATTCGGTGCTTTATATACAGTTATTTTATCAACTCTAAGATGCCATCAATTGTAAGAGACATCATTATCTTATGAACCACTACTAAAAAGTGCTGTCATTAAAACTGTCATATGGCATCAATTATAAGATTAGTCCTATTTTCAGAGATTTAAAATGTAAAAAAAATATTGGATTATGTAAAGTATTTTTTCTAGTCCTGGGGTTCTGAAATATTCCTTTAAAATTCAATATTTTTTTACATCAATGTTCCTTTAAAAAAATATTGAGGGGCATCTGGCTGGCTCAGTCAGTGAAACATGTGACTTGATCTTGGGTCATGAGTTCAAGCCCCATGTTAGACACAGAGCTTACTTTTAAAATATGTTTATTGAGCACCTACTATTTTCTGTACTTGTGCTGTCCAATATGGTAGCCATTAACCTCATGTGACTAGTGGACACTAGAAAGTTAGCTGGGCCAAACTAAAATGTGTGTAAGTATAAAATATACACCAGATAAAATGTGGTTTTAACCCATTTAAGTCTCTTGACAACCTTAAAAGATATAGGCTTTTATCCTTATTTTATTATTTTCTTTAAAAATTTTTAATGCTTTAATTTTTTAAATTTAATTTATTTTTTTTTTATTTACATCCAAGTTAGCATATAGTGCGACAATGATTTCAGGAGTCAGTTCCTTAATACTCCTTACCCAGTTAGCCCATCCCCCTTCCCACAACCCCTCCAGTAACCCTCTGTTCTCCATATTTAAGAGTCTCTTATGTTTTGTCCCC